CGGAGGGGGACCAGGAGCAAGGAAAAGCGGCGGGGGAGGGAGGGGGGCAGTGCGGTAGGGGAAGAGACGGTAAAAAGGGACCGACTCGTCAAAGGTGACATCCTGAGAGGCGAAGACCCGGCGCGAGGTGGGGTGGTAAAACTGCCAGCCAGGCGCGTCAGGGACAAAGCCAAGGAAGACACAGGGAAGCGTGCGGGAGGAGAGCTTGTCCGCGGACGTATCGCGGACAAGGGCACGAGCACCCCACACCCGGAAGCGCGACGCATCGCCAACCTCCCCCGTCCAACGCAGTGTGGGCGAGGTCTCCGGCAAGGAGACACGGGGCCAGAGGTTGAGCTGATGCGCGGCGTACCGGACAGCAAACGGCCACAGAAAATGGGGAGCCGCCGCGTGGACCAAGGAGGTACGAGCGACCTCCATGACCAGGCCAATGCGGCGCTCAGCAACCCCATTCTGCTGTGGGGAGTCCGGAAGCGTGAAGGTCTGCTCGATGCCCTCCGCCTGACAGAAGGTCCTCAAGAGGTCGGAGGAAAACTCACCACCTCTGTCAGAGTGCAGACGGAGGACAGGAAGATCCGTCCGGAAACGGCGGCGGAGCTGGAGACGAACCGTGCGGATCCAAGGGATCAGAACAGCAGGGACCTCACCCTTGGTGCGCAAGGGGAAGACCGTGGTGTAACGCGAGTAGTCGTCGACAACCAGCAAAAAGTACCGCTCACCGCCCTGACCACGAACGCGGGCTGGGCCCCACACGTCCAGGTGGAGGGTCTCCAGAGGAGCCTCTGTCGGGGGGAACGAGGAGGAGTGAGGGGCGGCGCGCTGCCGCCCCTCGACGCAAGGAAGGCAAGGCGGCGCAGGCGAGGCAGGGAGGGGAGGGAGGGACCTGGGAAGACCGGACACAAGGAGGCGACGGTGCATGCCACGAAGGCGTGGCAAGGAGGGGTGACCCAGGCGGTGGTGCCAGAGAAGAGTCTGGTGCGACAGGGAACGACACTCACAGGCGTGGGCCACCAGACCTGACGCAGACACCTGACCGACAGCAGCTACCTGGGGAGACGCAGTGGTCAGTGTGTAGAGACTCGACCCCGGCCGACGGGTGAACGTAGCCAGGTGACGGCCGGTCCTGGAGCACGTGCAGATCGCCACACGCTGTCCGCCAGGGGTAAAGGTGTCAACCCACTGATCCTGGAGGACAGCGTTGCTCACCAGGTTCGTCGAGAACGAGGGGAGGTGGAAACCCGACAACGAGCCAGACGGAACCGCCGGACAAGGGAGGACAGTGGTGGACTGGGCAAGGACTGGGCCCCCAGAGGGGTCAGCCAAGGAGACTGGGACCGGTGCAGGAAGCGGTGTGAGCTCAGTACTGTCACGAAAGAAGCAACGGGAAGCACCTGAGTCAAGGGTGAAGGTGTGACAGGCCTCAGCCGGTGCGGTACCTGAGAGAGCAGTCTCTGTGGGTGCTGTACCTGAGAGAGCAGACTCGAAACCAGCCGGGACAGCACTGGGGGGAGCAAGTACAGGGGGCACCATACCAGAGAGAGCAGACTCACTAGTACCCAGGGCAGCGGGCTCTATACCTGGGTCAGGCGGCACACACAAGTAACAGTCTCCCTCGGCACTAACAGTCAATGCATACATGGCAGCAATAATAGCATCATAGTCAAGAGCAAAGACATCAACACCAGCCCTCATGAGCTCAGCCCAGCGGGGGCGCTCAACATCCGCACCCATCTCCTCACGCCAAGCGTCGTCAAGGCGGGAGAAGCAGCGGTACGGGGTGTGGAACCTCCCACACGTCTGTCCCTTGCGGTCACCTGTGCGAATGACATAAGAACAGCGGGCACTGGCCCCCGACGTCCCACGCTGAGCAAGCCACTCACGAAGCTGCTGGGTCGTCTGGGGACGCTGCTGCTGCTGGGAGCTCTGGCCCGAGCCAGTGCCTCCACTCCGACCTCCGCCGCCACCACTACCACCGCTCCGACCGGCACCGCCACCACCGCCACCACCGCCACCGCCGCCACCGCCGCCGCCGCCACTACTGCCACTGCTTCCTCCGCCGCCCCCGTCTCCACCACCGACCCCACTCCCACCAGCGCTCCCGCCACCGCTCCCTCCAGCACCGCCTCCCCCCCCACCTCCCCCACCTCCTCCCCCCCCAGTGCCACCACCACCACTTTTGCCCCCCTTGCCCTTGCCGGTGCGGCGCCTCCCACCAGGAGTAGAAGCAGCGCCAACAGACTCAGCACCAAGGAAGTCAACAGCAGCAGCAGCAGCGTAGGAGGGAGCGAGGGGAGAGGGAGAACACCCCTCAAAGATGGGGGTGCGAGGAGCGCCACGAGCAGCACCGACAGCTACAATGCTCTTTTCGGCCGCGAGCAGGTGCTCCTCTAGGAGGGCGACTGTGAGCTCAGTGGGACAGCGAGCAAGGAAGTGGTCTCGAACTGAGCGGAGGGTGTCAGGGAGACGGGTGACTATGAAGTGGAGTGTCCAGTACAGTGGAGGGGGGTTCTTAGCGCAGAACTCGGTGGGAAGGGCGGCACGCAGGCGAGCATCACTAGTGCGAAGGTGGGTGATAAGATCGGCGACTGTAGTAAAGGTGGACAGATCGGGGAACAGGTACGGCAGCATGAGGCGGCTAAGCTCGGCTGTGGCAGGCGAGGAGTAGCGAGCGACGACAGCGTCGTACAGGGCCTTAGCGGATTTGCAGTCGCCAAAATGCTCTAGCTCAGCTAACGGCAGGTGACTGCGAATGGCTAGGCGAGCAGCTGCGTCACGAGTCTGCCAGTGGGAACGAACACTAAGCTCAGCTGTGGCAGGAGGGGCAGGCGCAGCACCAGACGCGTAATCATAGAGCGACACATGCTCCTTGCTATCGCTCAGGAGGAACAGCTGCAGGTCATCTAGCCAAGCGGTGAACCGCACAGGGCGGCCCTCAGCATCGAACGACAGCACGCGGATGGAAGCCATAGCGACAGTGTGACAGAGTAACGCAAGCTGCCGCAGCAGGGGAAGGCGACTGTGCACGGATAGAGAGCAGCGGGCGAGGCTGGCGCTACGGGCAGGCGGCGCTGCAAGCGGTCAGCGCGACGGGAGGGCGACGCTGCGAGCGGGCAGCACGGCGGACGGGCCGGGAAGCGGGCAGCGCGGCGGGCAGGCGGCGCTGCAAGCGGGCAGCACGGCGGGCGGGCGACGCTGCGTGGCGGGCGGGCCGCGAAGCGGGCAGCGGGCGGGCGGGCGGGCTGCGAAGCGGGCAGCGGGGCGAGCGGGCTGCGATGCGGGCGGGCCGCGAAGTGGGCAGCTAGCGGGCGGGCGGGCTGCGAAGTGGGCGGGCCGCGAAGCGGGCAGCGGGGCGAGCGGGCTGCGAAGCGGGCGGGCCGCGAAGCGGGCAGCGAGCGGGCGGGCGGGCTGCGAAGTGGGCGGGCCGCGAAGCGGGCAGCGAGCGAGCGGGCTGCGAAGCGGGCGGGCCGCGAAGCGGGCAGCGAGCGAGCGGGCTGCGAAGCGGGCGGGCCGCGAAGCGGGCAGCGAGCGGGCGGGCGGGCTGCGTAGCGAGCGGGCCGCGAAGCGGGCAGCGAGCGGGCGAGCGGGCTGCGAGCGGGCGGCTCGGCGAGGGGCGCGCGAGGGCGCTAGTGAAGGGGCGCGCGAGGGCGCTAGCAAGGGGCGCGCGAGGGCGCTAACGAGGGGCGCGCGAGGGCGCTAACGAGGGCGCACGAGGGCGCTACGAGGCTAGGGCACGGGGTAGCGTGGTAACCGCAGCGAGCGGTGGTGGGCCCTTAAAAAAAAACGGTCGGTAGGTCCTAGGGACCTCCTGCTCTGAATACCATATCAGAATCACTAGGCAAGAATGATGAACTAGCAGAAGTTTGGGTACAAATATGAAACCCTAGTTGGGGTTGTACCCCATATTGGCTACCCCACTACAGCCTACAAGCATAATACAGTTTAACAATTTCCCTGCGAAAGGGCGTGAGCGCGGATTGGTCATTTCAAACGGCATACGAACTACGATGTCTCAGCCGTATGAGGCGACGCGTGGGAGACTGCCTTTGTGCAAAAAAAATCTTTGTTATTACCATTAACATTACGAGACTCAATTTTCTCATTACGTGCCGCGAGTGTTAGGGATCCAGCAGGTTGTGGTTCCAACCGCTGCGTCAGCAAGCTTCACTCTGGCAGTTCGGGCCTCAGTCTCCCAGGCAGTAGCCAAATGGTCGGCCCTCCCCTTTTACGGTAGGAGGGGCGCCGGGTACCATAGTGCCAGGCTAGGCTCCCTTTGTCGAAACAAGTTAGGCAGAAGTTAGGAACAGAAAGAGGGTTTGAACTAGCAGGCAGTTGAGTACAAATAGCAAACCCTAGATTGGGCTGTACTCGCTATAGAGTACCCCACTGCAGGCTAGACAATATAACATTCTGACACACCCCCATAGCCAAAGTGGGGTGTAATCAGCACAACAAGCAGTCACAATAGCAATAGTTCATAAATTATGAGCAAAGGTAGAGGCAGTCACTGAGGGCAAGTGAGGAGGAGGAGGGCTGGCGAGAGGAGAGTAGATGGGAGGCGACGACTGAAGCTGCAGACACACGGGCAACAGACGGCTCTGGTGCAACGCTAGTGGCTACCGGGAGCAAGTGCCCCGGAATACAGGAGTAACTGGCTCTGCGTCTGATCAGCAGCGACAGGAGCAACGGACCCACGGGCGACAGGTGCAACCGGCTCTCTGAGCTACCGGTGGCTATCAGAACCCCGGAATACAGGCGCTGCGGACGACACGACGGCAACCTCCACTCAATCTCCCCCAACACCCCTCGACACACACCCCCGGCTGCGCCCCTAGCTCCACTCCCCCTTCACCCCCCTAGCACCACTCCTTCGGCTCCCCACACAACCACCCCCCTGAGCGGCAGCTGCAGCAGCGGGAGACGAAGGAGGAGGAGGAGGAGGGGACGGGGCACACAACCGGCACCCCCACAACCGCCACCCCCACACTCCCCACCCCCAAACCCTAAAACGGGCGGAACGGGGGAAGGAGCGCGGGGGACGGCGAGGGGGACGGCGCGCGGCCCCCAGGGCGCCACCACGGGGCAGCGAGGGGCCGCGCGCGGCTCCCCAGGGCGCCGCGAAGGGGCAGCGGGGGGTCGCGCGCGGCTCCCTTGGACGGCGCAACGGGGAATCGGGAGCCGCGCGCGGCTCCAGCTGGTCGACGCGACTGTCGACGGGGCAGCGGGGGGTCGCGCGCGGCTCCCCAGGGCGGCGCGACGGGGTGGCGGGGCGACGCGACCACCGACGGGGCAGCGGGGGCAGCGCGCGGGTCCCCTAGGGCGACGCGACGGACAGGGCGGGGGCGCGCGCGGGTCCCCCACGATAGGAAACCGCCGTGCGCCCCGAGGCACACGGCGGGCAGAAAACCGCCGCGCGCCCCGAGCGCACGGCAGGAAGAAGACGACGCACGCCCGAGGCGCGCGAGAAGCATAACAGCAGCGGAAGCAGTTAGGTGGTGGGCCCACCCACAGGATCGACCCAAGGGGGTCGACCTGCTCTGATACCATGTCGAAACAAGTTAGGCAGAAGTTAGGAACAGAAAGAGGGTTTGAACTAGCAGGCAGTTGAGTACAAATAGCAAACCCTAGATTGGGCTGTACTCACTATAGAGTACCCCACTGCAGGCTAGACAATATAACATTCTGACACCCTTCGCATGGCCCAGGTGACGACATGGAGTGCAAAAGGCATGGAGTGCCTTCGAGCGGCAACCTTTGATCGGAAGGGGCCGTACTCGAGCCGAAGTGTCAGAATGTTATTATTGTATAGCCTGTAGTGGGGTGCTCTATAGCGAGTACAACCCAGTTAGGGTTTGCTATATGTACCCCAACTGCTGCTAGTGAAACCTCCTCTCCTTTCAATCATTCTTGCCTAGTTCTGTTGACATGCTATCAGAGCAGGTCGACCCTCCTGGGTCGATCCTGTGGGTGGGCCCACCACCTAATGCTTCCGCTGCTTTACTTCCTGCCGGGCGCCTCGGGCGCGCGACGACTTCTTCCTGCCGCGCGCGGAGCGCGCGGCGAATTTTTTCTAGGGTTTCGGCGGTTTTCATCCCGCCGTGCGCTCGGGGCGCGCGGCGGTTTTCTGCACGCCGTGCGCCCCGAGGCGCGCGGCGGTTTCCCACCGTCGAAGTGCCCCCCGTCGCCCGTCGAAGCGCCCTCCCCCCGTCGCCCGTCGAAGCGCCCCCGTCGCCCGTCGGAGCGCCCCCCGTCGCCCGCCAAAACGCCCCCGTCGCCCGTCGAAGCGCCCCTGGGACCCGCGCGCGGCCCGTACGGGCTGCGCCAGGCCCGCGCGCGGCCCGTACGGGCTGCGCCAGGCCCGCGCGCGGCCCGTACAGCCCGCGCGCGGCCCGTACGGGCGGCGCCAGGCCCGCGCGCGGCCCGTACGGGCTGCGCCAGGCCAGCGCGCGGCGCGGGCAGCCTGCGCGCGCCTCGTCCGTCCCCCTCTCGCCGTCCCCCGCGCTCCTGCCCCTATCCCACCCGTTTTAGGGTTTGGGGATGTAGAGTGTGGGGGTGGCGGGTGTGGGGGTGCCGGTTGTGTGCCCCGTCCCCTCCTTCTCCTCCTCCTCCGTCTCCCGCTGCTGCAGCTGCCGCTCAGGGGGGTGGTTGTGTGGGGAGCCGAAGGAGTGGTCCTAGGGGGGTGAAGGGGGAGTGGAGCTAGGGGCGCAGCAGGGGGTGTGTGTCGAGGGGTGTGGGACTGTTGGGGGAGGTTGAGCGGAGGTAGCCGTCGTGACGCCAGCAGCGCCAGTAGTCCGGATGCCCTCGCGCGTCTCGGTAGCCCAGCGAGCCTGCTTCGCCAGTCGCCTGTGGGTCCGTTGCTCCTGTGTGTGCTCGTCGTAGCCGCGGAGCCAGATACTCCCGTAGTCCGGTGCCCTCGTGCGCTCGGTAGCCACTGTGCGCGCCGCTCCTGTTGCCCGTGTGTCTGCAGCTTCAGTCGGCGCCTTTCATCTTCTCGCCCTCACAGTTTCTCCTCCTCCTCACTTGCCCTCTATGATCACCTCTAGCTTTGCTTATAATTGTGAACTATTGCTATGCCTGCTCATTGTACTGATTACACCCCACTTTGGCTATGGGGGTGTGTCAGAATGTTATTATTGTCTAGCCTGTAGTGGGGTGCTCTATAGCGAGTACAACCCAGTTAGGGTTTGCTATATGTACCCCAACTGCTGCTAGTGAAACCTCCTCTCCTTTCAATCATTCTTGCCTAGTTCTGTTGACACGAAGATGTGCTAAATTTGCCGCCAACTTAGATCTACATCAAAGTGTTGAATCCGGAGGTTGTAGCTTTTGCTAATTCTCAGTCAATCTAGATCTGAATCATATATTGTTGAATCCGCCTTTCTAATTCTCACTCGATTTAGATAAGACTGTGTTGAATTCGGATGTTGTAACTCTTGCTTATTTTACGGCGGATTTAGGTTAAGCTTTAGAACTTTTGTTGTACCTATTAGTCAGTCTGTAGTGGTGATTGTAGTTGGTGGAATCCCGCTCCTCCCGGCTCATCCTGCTTTCCTACTCTCGCTCATCCCACTTTCGCTCATCTCTTTCCGCTCTTCCACCTACCTCATCAAGCTCTCACCTTCTAATCCTGCCAATGTTGCACGATCGTCCACCATTCAAAGGATGCCCTCCCCCTGACAAAAGTCCCGCAAGAGGTCAGAGGAGAACTCACCACCTCTGTCAGAGTGCAGACGCAGGACGGGAAGGTCCGTGTCGAACCGCTCGCGGAGCTGGAGACGCACAGCGCGGATCCAAGGGATCAAAACAGCAGGAACTTTATCCTTGCTGCGCAAGGGGAAGACCGTGGTGTAACACGAGTAGTCGTCGACAACCAGCAGAAAGTACCGCTCGCGGCCCAATTCCTGGACACGGGCTGGGCCCCACACGTCCAGGTGGAGAGTCTACAGGGGAGCATCTGTCGAGGGAAACGAGGAGAAGTGAGAAGCGGCGCGCTGCCGCCCCTCGACGCAAGGAATGCAGGGCGGGGCAGGCGAGGGCAGGACGGAAGGCAGAGACCTAGGAAGACCAGAGACCAGGTAGCGAGAGTGCATGCCACGCAGGCGTGGCAAGGAGGGGTGACCAAGGCGGTGGTGCCAAAGGAGAGTCTGGTGCGACAGGTGACGACACTCGCAGGGGGGGGCTACCAGACCTGACGCAGCCACCTGACCAGACGCAGCAACCTGGGGAGGCTCAGTAGTCAGTGTGTACAGACTCGACCCAGGCCGACGGGTAAACGTGGCCAGGTGACGGCCCGTCCGTGCACACGTGCAGATCGCCACACGCTGGCCTCCAGGGATAAAGGTATTAACCCACTCATCCTGAAGAGCTACATTACTCACCAAGTTCATCAAGAACAAGGGGTGGTGGAGACCTCACAGCAAGCCGGACGGAACCGCCGGGCACGGGAGCACGGTGGAGGAACGCGCAAGAACCGGACCCCCAGAGGGATCAGCCAGGGAGACCGCAACCGGTCTAGGGAGCGGTGTGAGCACGGTACTGTCGCGAAAGAAACAGCGTGAAGCACCTGAGTCAAGCATGAATGTGTGCAAGTGGTCAGCAGATGCAGTACCAGAGAGAGGGGACTCACTAGCACCTAGAGCAGACGCACTAGTACCTAGAGTAGCAGCTGCTATGCCAGGGTCGGGCGGCACACAGAGGTAACAGTCACCCTCAGTACCCACAGTCAGAGTATACATGGCAGTAAGTATAGCGTCCAAGTCGAGAGCAAAGACGTCCACCCTGTGTCGAAGCAGCTCCAGCCAGCTGGGGGGCTCAGCCTCGTCGCCAAACACCTCTCTCCAGGCGTCACTCAAATAGGCGAAGCAGCGGGGCTGTGAATGGCCAGGTGTCCCGCAGGTCTGCCCGGCCCGAGCACCTGTGCTCATGACGTTCGCGTAGAGACCAGTACTTGGAGACTTCCCACGCTAGAAATACCACTCACGAAGCTGCTGGGGCGGAAGGGTGACGCGCGGACCTCGCTGAAGCTGCAGCTGGCCACCACCAGAACCTCCCCACCGAACAGCTCCACCTCGACTGCCGCTGCGGCCGCCTCCACCACTCCCACCGCTGCCCCCACCACCGCCACAACTCCCACCACTACCACTAAGAGAAGCCATAGTGGGCAGAGGAAGGAGGTAGGGCAGGGCAAGGCAGGAACGGAGACGCACGGGCTGCAGAGGGCGACGTGTAGGTGGGCAGGAGGTGAGCGCACGGGCTAGGAGAGTGGCGCGCTGGCTGGCAGAGCGGTGCGCGGGTTCCGGGACGGCGCTCGGTAGGGCAGGGCGGGCGTAGGGCAAGGCACGGCGCACGGGCTAGCAGAGCGCTGCGCGGGCGGACAGGGCGGCGTGCAGGCCACCAGGGGTGGCGTGCGGGCTCTGGGGCAGCGCACGGCAAGAGTAGGGGCTGCGTGCAGGCTCTGGGGCGGCGCGACGGGCAGGCAGGGGCGGCGGGCGAGTCCTAAGGTGACGCGACGGGCAGGGCAGGGCGTCGCGCGGGTCCTAGGGCGACGCGACGGGCAGGGCAGGGCGTCGCGCGGGTCCTAGGGCGACGCAGCGGTCAGGGCAGGGCGTGCGCGGTCAGGGCAGGGCGTGCGCGGAGTAGTGCGACGCGGGCAGGGCAGCGTGTGCGCGGGGCAGCGCGACGCAGGGCAGGGCGTGCATGGGGCAGTGCAACTCAGGGCAGGGCACCGTGTCCGCGGGGCGGCGCAACGCAGGGCAGGGCAGGGCATGCGCTGGCAGCACAACGCAGGGCAGGGCGTGGGGTAGCGCGGTAACCGCAGTCGGTCACTAGCTAATGGTGGGCCCGGAAAAAAAAAAAAACAACGGTCCAACGGACCTACTGCTCTGAAACCATGTCAGAATCAACGAGCAGGAATGATTGCATTGAAGAGATTGTGGGTACAAGTACTAACCCTAACAGTGGGTTATACCCTATATGGGCTACCCCACTGTAGCCTACACAGAACTGACACATATATAGTCTGACAGTTTTCAATAACGTCCCAGCCGTGGTTGCGCTAGATGCTTAACCCCCAGTCACGGGAGCTGACACAGACGTGATCAAGGGTCTGGTAACCCCCCACCCGGGTAGCAAGAAGCAATGGAGGCACGCGGTGATGACCCATTAGACGTCAAAAAGCATATCCTAATTCATTACCCATCGTTGCCCTCTAAGTCTTGCGGCGGTCAGCATGACAAGAAGTACCATAATGCTTATGTTACGGAGCGGCAGAATAACATTGGCAAATGGAATCTTAATCTAGGTCGTGTTCACTGTATTAATGGTGGTTTATCTGTTGCTTCTTCGCGACTAATCTCGTTGTTTCTTGACACTCGCCCCCTAGTCGTATGCTGCAACGGCCTCTCTGAAGTGCACCTTGCTAATGCTGCCGATCTTGCAAGATCTTGCTTTGGTGCTGGTCTTGGTTGGGAAC